GACCTTGGCCTATTCACTCTTTTTGGGAGAATTCCTCTCCATATCCCGATCAGGGGCCGACCAATAAGGGGTGGTACATCTGTCCGCGTCTTGTGTTGGCACACCTCTCTGCCTTCTCCTTCCTGTTTTGAGCTTCCCTTCCCTTTAAGTTATAACTGTTTCCTCTGGTGGTGTCTGTTGCCGACTGGCCCTGTCCGGGGTTGAGTTGTGCCAGTCGTTCCAGCGCAGCCGGTCCTCTCGGATCTCCGCCACTTTGCCGTTAATCAGCCAGTTACTGCTGAATTTCAACCTTAAAATATTCCGTTGCTCTTCATCCTCAGGCCACGTCATCTTGATTTTCCGCCATCTGCACAGAATCTCTGCTTGAATCATTGATTTGGATACCTTCCAAACTTTGTCCCTTGGGTTGGAAAGCCCTTCGATTGTTCTGCAACATCTCTCCTTCCATATCACCCAGATCGTCACCTTACTGATGAGTTCGAACCAGATCCTTTCCGATTTCCGGGACATGGTGGGGATGTTAGTGAGGAGGAGCAATTGGATAGGTTGACGAGGGAAGGGGGATGCGAAGAGTGATTCCCACAGAAGAGAGGCTCTGGTCCAGTATTCTGTCGCTTCTACACAATGTATCATGCAGTGGATTAAGTCCTCTACTACTCCTGTCGTTCAGACTGTACAAATGTCTGAGCTGTCCGGATTGGTCGCTTTCCGTCTAGTGTGGAGCCACTGGTTTACTGGTAGGGCTGCGTACACTATCAACCATTGTAGACTTCTGATCTTTACCGGTCTAATTCGTGCAAATTTCTTCCAAGGGATTTGTTGGATTCTGTCGGCTTCCTGTCCCACTAGTTTTTGCCATCGACTTAAGACCACCGGATCCGGGTCCTTGGTTTTCAATAGTAATCTGTATCCGAGTTTAACGGTGTAGTCTTGAAGTGGTGTTTTCGTCTTGATGCTACGGTTGTCATTAGGGGTCCAAGCCCACTCTGCTGGGTCAAATTCTAAGAAACGGACGRCCGTATCTGGTTTAAAGATCGACTTCGGCCATGTGCCTATGACCCTCACTTTCCTCAGAAGGAAGAARTCGAGTGTAGAGGATTTAACGTCTCGATTGGGGATGGCAGGCATTTCTGTACCTATGTTGACTATCGGGAAGGATAGGAAGACTGCGTTGGTAAGTGAACCGGGTTGCATGTGCGAGAATTGGTACGCTCTAGTAAGGGAGGTGTCTTGGAA